CAAAAATACGCGTTTACGGTTTCCTTGGTAACCTTTGTTTGCTATCAGCTGATGTTTTATTTCCATTTCCCAGCCAAGTCGACGGAGTTTATACGTCCTTTCTTCATTAAATACATTTACTAACACCTGAGCGCTTTTCTAATACGACAGTATTAGAACTTTCCCGCTTGTTTTTTTTTTTCATCAATCTTATCTCATTAGAAATTGACATGTTTCAGAATGAACCCAACGTCAATTGCCACTGCAAATCTGAATGACAAACTCAGCGAATGTAAACTAGAAAATGACCGACTGAGGGAAAGAATTAAGGTCCTTGAGGAAGGCAACGAACAAGATGTTACAAGGATAGTGGAAGAGAGAGTGCAAAGCTGCAACTCGAAAGAAGTAGATGGTGAGTTGGCAATGTCCCTCAAAAGGGAATCAAACGACTTTAGCTGTAGCCAAATTTCGTCAGCCAATTTATTTTTTTACGCAAGGGCATTTGAAGTAATGGAGAATTTGCACGCAATTTTTTTATTGCTTCATCTGAAAGTGCCTAATGAGCTGAGTTCGCAATATTTTTCATAATTTTTTTCTGACATGGGAAATTGGAGAAAAATTGATTTAAAAGTGAGAAAATGTGCCGCCTTGTGACGTCATCTGGCGGCATTTCCCATTTGAACACATGTATTTTAGCAGAATCGGTTATTTTGTCATATCTCCTCTAATAATTGCTCAATTTATGAATCAAGGGTATCTTCGTGTTCAGTTCACTCAGAGGATTCCACTTAAACAGGAAATTCATCAAATTTCAGACCCTTGCAAATTCTCCATTCTCTTAAAACCAAAAAATGCGAAAGGTGTGCATCGTATTTGTAATATCAACCATATGCTTTGGTTAAATTCGTTTTGAGTACTTAACGATCACTTCCACTTTTGATCAGTTAAGAGCGTTTCTTTTTCATGATGATTCCATCAACTTATTCGCATCACAGCCTAATCATTAAAACTATTTTGGCCCAATGTAAACACCTACAAAAACTGAGTGGTTTTGGAGTGAATGAGGAGTACTTCAATAAATGTGTAACGCTCTAGGAGAGAGTGGATCTGAGCCTGCAATGCCGAGCAATACAGGATACAGTGGCCCGGGGCGTTCAGGGCTGTGGTATGTAAAGCTAGAATGGTGCGTAGCAATAATTTTTCAAGAAGTTGAGATGAAGAATCAGCGCAAGCAGGCCATTCTCCATTTAAAATTCATCTCAAAACGGTAATAGGGAGGGTGTGAATTGAGTGTTATGTAATTTTTTGAGGGTCGTGCAAACCTGTGTTATGGATGCACTGTGAAGAAGAGGGCGGTCAAAAAATCTGATTTTCAGCGATACATATTATATGAACAGTCCCAATTAAAAGTGAAAATGCTGGTTTGAACTTCATGAATCGTAATTCATGAAAATTCCATAGACGAAATATGGATGCAGTCTTTTATTCCCATAATTTACTCTCAAACCCAGATACATCTGTACTTTAAGCTCCGAGATCTCCTAATTTTGCATAACTGGTAACGCTTAGTTCCAGCATTCAACCAGGCCGATTTTGATTTTTGCAGCTATCGACCGGCAATTGTCTCTGGATGAGCCCGCTTTATTCAGATTTTCAAAATATGACCCGGGTTTTTTTATATTACGCGGTAAAGTTGCAAATTCTTCTATTTAAACAATGCAAATTTATATTTCTTGTCTTAGTTTGTTTGAGCGTTCTACTGGGCCGATTTCCATTATTTTTGCGGTTATCGACAGGTGATAGGCCCTAGATGAGCCCGCTCTAATCAAAGTTTGGAAATAGGACTGAGGTTTTTTTACAATCACGTTATAAAAGTGAGCAACTTTACAGAATGCTTCGCTCCTGCTGCCGCTATGCACAGAAGGTTGCGCAGTGGCAGAGTAGCCTGTGCATCAATTCTACTTATGAACATAAGATTTGCGACGTGTCATCGAAGATGGGCGGTGGCCGAGTTGTCTAAAGCATCAGCAGAGCCCGCATGGTCTGAAAGGTGTTGGTTTGATTCCCGGCTGACCAGTATTTTAATTATGACCTGCGATTGTTATCTTTCGTTGTTTTACTGCAATGGCTCATTAATCAATCATTGCGAAACGCATCCTCTTGACCTCAAATTTTTTTCTCTTTATTTATCAAAAACAAAAATCATGTCATTCTTAAAAGTAAAATATACGTCATGTCGTAATTTTTTAGGGGAAAAATATAACCAACATTAATAAGAAGCTAAAAGAGAAAAACACAACGGTAAAAATTTAAAAACAAAAGGAATGTCTAAAAAAAAAAATTGGACAGCATTGAAATTTAGGAAAACTAGTCTAATAAGAATGTCCGAACTTTATATTCACTTCATGCTGGCTAAATCCATAATTTTATTTTTTAAATATTTTATTACTGGGACATTGCATTTGAATTAGTCCATTAGGTTCTTACTACTTCCGTCATAAAATTTTTTCCTGAGATCTGTTGAACGAATAATATCATGAAAATATGAATTTCATTAACGCTGTGGATTCATAAATGGGCCTCTAAGCGGCCCCTTGATGGTGCGGAGCGCCTCCAGGGGGCGTAGCCTCCCAGTACTAAAATATGGAGCAACAAAGATCACTAAGGATTCAACTATCAAAACTATAAAAACAAATATAAATTATAATGCCACTTTCATGTAGTGTTTTGTTTTGTTTAAATTGTTTTTACTAAATTAGCTTAGGTGTTCAAAATATTTCAAGATATCATAGTTACGAAGATAATTTCTTATCATTTCCAGAGTTGAGGGAAAAAGTGCGCTCATCAGAATTGCAAAATCAAAGGCTACGTGAAGTGTTCAAAGTAAAAAGCCAGGAGTATAGAGAGGCAATATACATCCTCTTTGGCTACAAGGTAGATGGTCTTCCAAACAAGGTCTATCGCTTGTCTAGTGTTTATGCCGAGGGTCCTGAAGAGTATCTTATATTTCAGGTATGTAACAGAAAACTCTTTCGCAAGGGGATAAAAGAGAGAGAGACAAATTTAACTTTTGCATTTTCATGTCTTATGGGTGGCTTACGGAATCACAATTCATACATGCAATGTGCAAGTTCACAAATGCTGCAGAAAGTCAGATGTCCGTATTAAAATCGCATGATTTGTCATTGCTTTGTCTTTTATTTCATAGACTGAATTCATAAAGCAATTAAAGTAGAGGATTTTGCAAGAACTGAAACATTTATGATGCTTGATATTGGTGCAGTTATTGTCAATTTGGTTTGAAGGAGTAAAACTTTGTGAATATAACTCTCAATGAGGCTTTTGTATGTCCTAAGTTTAAAAAAGTTTCCAATTTTTATAAGAGAGAGATTAGCTTGCCTGTTGCCTTGAAGACTCCTTGTACTAAATTTGTTTAATCTCATATTTCTATTTGTATTACGCTTAAAAAAAAACCCCAAAAAAAACAAAGATAAAATAATTTGTCATTAGGCAAGGTCTGAACTAGAAGGGACATCACACGTTTTCCTTCAAAATCTTGCTTAGAAAACAATTTATACTGTGGAATGTTCCAAAATCAACTCCTGAATGAGATATCAACAAGTTTTTCAACACAGATCAAATGGAGACAAGATTTTACAAATGACCTCAGTTAAGTTTTTTCCATTTAACCTATGTTAACTGTCAATACAGATCTGACTGATCAGATCTGTCTGTACCTTATTTAGGAGTTGATTTTCAGACTTGGAGATTTTCAGATTTGATTCCCTTTTTTTTTTAAGAAATTTTGAAGAGAAATCATGTTGCCTAGTGCCTTAATACGTACCCAGGGTGTCTACAAGTCCGGAAAGTCCGGAAATAGTACTGATTTTTAAGGGCGGTCCAGAAGTACTGATTAAGTGCAGAAATTACGCAAAAAGGTCTGGAATTTTTTTTTAATTTCTTGTCATTTTTTTCGCAATTTCAAAATTTTGAAATTTTTATAATTTCGTTAAACGGAGGTACTGAAAAAGTACGGAATTTTTCTGTTGGAGGAGGTACTGAATTTCTCGAGAATGTACGGAAAAATTACTGTAAAAATACTTATTTTTGACCAGCCTGTTTTAGTAGACACCCTGGTACCTTGTTTAGAGGCCCATTTCAAATAGCTATGATTAGAATTGTCTGACATGAAATAATTTCTTTGAAACAATCTCCTATTAAACACTTGTTATTGTCACAGGAAGATAATATTGTGTTAAAGTTGTAGTTTCATATTTATTTGTCTTTCAGGAGTCAGAGAGTGGGAACATGGATATGCTAGAAACTCCATTCTCGCAAACTCTTGGTGATCTCATATCGCTTCACTTGACTCATCAGCACTCTTTACCTATGTTCCTCGCAGCTTTAACTACAAATCTTTTTGAAAAGCACAGCATGACAATCACAAACCCTATTGTCATTGATTAGAATTTCCCACTGTTTTGCTAGTTAGTAAGAATCTATCCAACAGGAAGCAGTCTAGACACTTTATTACCTTGTTGAGCAAATCACAAGATCTGGATTAATCATATCACAACATTTTCATATCACAACAGTACTATTAAAGCTCTTAAAATGATTCAAAATCCGACTAGGAACTCAAATAAAGCTTACTGTCAATGTCAATAAACCACTAATCTGTAACAAGTGAGCAAAGCAAAGCTTGTAACGACAGAAGAAGTTAAAAATTGTTTAAGTTTATCTAGAAGGAATGAAGTATGTATATCAACACATCTGGAAAGACTGTATCTGTGTAGGAAACTTGATGGGCGATTTGTTGTTTCTTTAACAAGTGATGAAAGGTCCTTTTCTCTTAAATCGGTGAAAATAATACTGCATTGAAGGAAAAAATTAGATAAAGATATGAACAAGGATCTAAGGCTTAAGGTTATTATCCAAATGATAAGTTGTATAGTAAACCAGCGAAAGAGAGAATTATAACAGTTTTATTGTTTTTTAGCTATCCTATCTTTTTTATTCGATTATTTTACTTGTCTTTGCGGTGATTGATTGGCTGGATTTAAACCAGAATCAGCCTAACCACATCAAACTTGCCGAATTTCCTCTCTTGTTTTTTTTCTACAGAAAACTAATCAACATTTAGACTTGAAATTTTGTGAGTATATTCTTCATAATCCAACGGAAAATCTCGGGAAGTTTCAAGGTCTCATATTGTTTCATTATCTGTTGAAAAAGATGTAACTTAAGAAGAAATTAGGCAACGTGAAATGTAGTTAGGTTGATTCTTGCCAAATCCGTCCACTTGAAGCTCTGATTATTTTTTCTTGTCTTGATCTTATTTTTTGTCTTTGAATGTTTTTCATTTTCACCTATTTGTTTCATTTTTGGCGCTCTATAGTGATTCTCTCCATAGTCCTGGCTATGATACTGTGTTATAGGATAGCCTTGTTTAAATTATTTCCGTCATTCAAATAAAAAATGATGTTAGCCCAACATATCGACGGTGTAAGTGGGCAATCACATAACTCGATTTGCGACGTCGCAGACTTCCTGTCATACTTTATTTTTTAAACGGAAAACTGCTCAACGGCATTTCTTTAAAACTGTCGTAATTTTTCTCCTTTGTGCGAAGAAAATTTTGCAAAAACTTCAAGGAATGATGTCAATTTTTTCTCCTTTAAAAAATTAACATAGCGGCGGAGATTTTCAGACACCGCAAACGAGTTATGTGATTGCTGACTGACACCGTCGAAATGCTTTCGAACATATGCATTTACTATTAATATTTAGGTTAGCTAATCAAAGAATGAGATTTATAGAGAATGTAAGTGGGATTTTTTCTTGATTAAAGAAATAAAGAAATTATTATTATTGTTGGAAATGTTTAAAAAAAAGAAAGATATGTATTCGTAGTTTTCTGTTTGTCGCATCGTTTTTCAAATTCTGGTGTAAAATTATTACTGTGCTTCATTTGTATGGAACAGTCGACAAACCCTGGCATTTCTTGTAAGTACATCCATATTGTAAAAGTTACATAAAAAAAAGTAAAAATTGTAATATTTTGAACTGAATCAATTGCTAGTCTGCTTTAAAATGGCAATCCTTCCGAGGAACCTTCAACTTCCTGTAGTTTTGTAAAAAATGTAAGAAAAGAAACTAATAAAGAATATATATTTTGTAAATTAACAACCAAGTTGATCGTTGAATTATTGCTGTTTCATTTTAGATTCTCACTGAACATTGTCATATAAAATCAAATTTTGTGTTTGGATTGAAGTAGAATGAGAAGACTCAAAACAAACCTAACCAGTTCCTCAATGAAGCAAGAGCATCCAAGAAAAGTATGTATAAAAATGAAAATTCAAACCCACTTGAATACCTAATTTCTAATTATTAAAATTCATACCGGAAGGATGCAGAGAAAAATTTGTTCAAACACTTTCAACTTATGAGTTACATGCCTTCAAATGAACTGGAGTGTCAGTATTTGACCGTTGATTTGTTTTCATCTAATTTCCTTACCCATAACACATTTTGTAGAGTATCAAAAAAACTAATAAATTGTCTCGGGATTGTGTTTATGTAATACAGCAGACTGACTTAAAAAAAATGGAAAGGAACGTTTTTTAAGCACATAGATATTTATTATTTTGTATGTGTTGTGTGAATAGAAAAAAGTATCTGCTTTATTTCACTTAAAGAAAATCTGCAAAATTATTTAGGAAAAAAATACAATTCGTTTACAAAAAAAACCCAGAAATGTGAATTTCTCCTCCTCTTCTCGTATAATTGAAGTATGGATGAGACAGTAGTTGGTACATATCTGTTCACGGCCTGAAATGGTTTAATTTTAGGTCAGACAACAATTTTCCTCCGAAAAAAAATCCTTTAATGGTCATTAAAAAACTAAAAGGAAAGGAAGAGAAGTAGAGTATTAAATAAAAAACTTCGCTGAACGATTCCCGTCATTTTTCAGAGGTTGCATGAGAAGCTAAAGAGATACCCAAAACAATCTGAGAACCCGAGAGTATCAAGAGTAAATTATCATTTTTTAAAATACCTATGGATAATACAAAGTAAGCAGAAATGTGCACCTTGAAAATATTGCATCACTTTCCTATGTAACGAAGGATGTTACAGATAAATATTAAGTTATTTGAGGAGGTTTGTCAATTTTCAAAAAGTTGGGGATGGCTATTTCTAAAAAGATTTGTTGTAGGGGTGTGCGTTTTGAAAAAATTGAACACCGGAGCTCATTTTAAAGTTTGAAAGTAAGTATAAAAAAAAGATGAGGCCAAGTTCTACAGTTAGTATTTGAGCTATAAATTCACACGCAATTAAGTCATTTTAAACATTTTTTAACGCTTTTCTCAAAATTTCAAAAATGTCACCAAACTCCTTCATTCATACTCCTAGTTATCATAATTACAATTTATTATAAAATAAATATAATACTTTAATCTCATTAAAACACTGGTCACTGATTGAAAAAACGCATTTAATTTGATGACAAGTGTGTAAGTGCCTATGGATGGGAGCTCTAGTGCCTCTAGGGGAGCTATAATAAGAGCTTCATTTAGTAAAGCTGGAACAGCCAACAACAAAATGTTAGTTTGTAAACTTATTACTACAAAAATTATCTGAAAATCTGAAGTGTTATTCAAGATTTTGGTTATTCGACAACCTCTGACATTTTTTCAAAGACTCGGCGACGTTGCAATGCCAAAGACTGTGATGCGGATTGCAGACTTTCTGCGTTGTAGGCGTTGTGTCGAGTACTTGACTGAAGTGAGCTACAGAGTTACCTACAAAGTTGATGTCCAATGTTCTCGGAACAGGTAGTATTCTGAAAGATCCGGAACCTTCATAAACCAGCGGAATTTGTTCCGGGATCAATGTTTACCGTTAATTAATTAAATTAATTATTTAATCCATTTTGGAAACAAATCATCCATTTTTTCATGAGAAAAAGAAAATCAAATCGTTCGTTTTGACGGATTATATTTATTGAGGATGGATATCGAAGACCATCCTCCGAAAATTTCGAGAAAATTCAAAGGGGAAATTTCATGCAATGTTGTTGAATTGCTCCACCATCTATAATTCGCGAGTCGCGTAAATTCAGGGCAGGCTCTCAGATTTTCAAGTTTTCATTCGTGCATCCCCTTTGACGCATAAGACATTGAGTACGCACACCCAGAATCATCCTTGGAAAATTTCGAGAATATCCAAGGGGGAAATCTCCAGGAATGTTGTCCTATTGCTGCATCATTTATAATTCGCAAATCGCGTAAATTCAGGACAGGCTCTGAGGTTTTCAAATTTTCATTTGTGCATCCCCTTTGACGCATAAGATATTGAGTATGCACACCCAGAATCATCCTTGGAAAATTTCGATAAAATCCATGGGGGAAACCTCAAACAATGTTGCCGCATCCATCGTCAGTACGAGACAAGTCGCGTAAATTCGGAGCAGGTTCTGTCGTTTCATCAATTTCATTTGTTTATCCGATTTGACAGATTATATTTATGGAGGATGAACATCGAAGACCATCCTCTGAAAATTTCGAGAAAATCCAAAGGGGAAATGTAATGCAATGTTGCTGAATCGCTCCATCATCCATAATTCGCGAGTCGCGTAAATTCAGGGCAGGCTCTGAGTTTTCAAAATTTCATTTTTTCATCCCCTTTGACACATAAGATATTGAGTATGCACACCGAGAATCATCCTTCGAAAATTCCGAGAATATCCAAGGGGGAAATCTCTAGGAATGTTGTCGCATTGCTGCATCATCCATAATTCGCGAGACGCGTAAATTCGGAGCAGGACTGTCGTTTCATTAATTGCATTTGTTCATCCAATTTGAAAGATTTTATATTGAGTATGGGCACCCAGAATCATCATCAGAAAATTTCGAGAAAAACAAAGGGGGGTATCAAGAGCAATGTTGCCGTATCCATTATGATGCATGATGATTCTTGAATTGGCCGCCAAGAATTTTTTTTTATCTTTATTTCAGCTGAATTTTTCTTGATACATGAATGAAAATATTGAATTAAGCATATATATAGTTTGTAATAACCAGATTATGATCAGAATTCATGATTCAAGAGAAAATACTCCTTGGCGGCAAACTTTTTTTTTTTTTCTTCCAGTGATTATTTACTGGGACGTAGCCCCTTAGTGATTCAAAATCTACGAAACTTCATCTCTCTTGTGTAAAGAGGTTAAGATTTTAGTAATCTATTTTAAATACTGCAAAACGTTCATGGTTTAAAATTAATGAGTTTCTCACTCATGGTCACTCTTATTTTTCAACCAATGTTCGTCGTTGTTGAAAATTGAATGTCTCTTTTTACAACGTTGATGATTTCTTGTCACATTGCCTGTATTACTTACAATAAGCTAAGGAACATTATTTCTTGACATTTTTGCTGGTTATCCTGCATCATGTGCAGAATATTTGGTAAAATTATGAATAATTCACTGATTTTCATTGTACGGAAAAAATTTAAATGAAAATAAAACATCATCAGCTCTTCTTGAAACATTCCAAATGAGGAAAGTGTTTTGAGACTTTCGCCATAAAGCCATCTCAAGACAATCAGATTCAGAAAATAGGGAGAAATAAAAAATTTGTGGCCTTCAGGAACAAAATGCGACTATTATTAGTCAATAAATGACTGGAAGAAATTTAAAACACACATGAAAAAATATTTCACTCACTAATATTAGTCATGAGAAAAAATGGTGTATGGAAAAAAAGATGTTGATAAATAGACATAAGGTAGTAGAAAAAAGAAAATTGATTTAAGTTCTTGAAAACAAAACAAAAAATCAGTAATTCCCTGTTGACTTGCTAACGTAATGATATTTCAAGGGGATACAAGTACAAAATATGGGTTGAACATGCTAAAGAAAGGCTCAGGTGAAATTTGCCATATTTGCACTGTTAGTCTAAGAACGAGCTTGTTTACATGAGTGCATGAAATTTATTCAAGTTTCCGAAAATAGGAACAAAAATCAGTGTTACACTAGCAACTCACTGACGCATTCAAACACTAATAACTGAATATTAAAATTAGCAAGTAAACAAAATGACATTAAATTTTTAAAAATATATATATATATATATATATTGTTTAAAAAGGGCAGTAAGAGAGAAGTAAAACAGTTTTGCGCAGCGTCAATCCAGTCTAAAAGTAATCATTGAGGAACAAAAATAGTTGGCATTTTCTTTCGAGACCTGTGTCCTAGGCTGCCTGCTTCAAACATCTGAAAACATGAGAAAAGAAATAATCATAAACTGTCAAATAAGTGGTATAGCAGAGCAAGTTCCGGTTATTAAAGTAATAGTCATTCGATCAGACAGGGTTACCACAAAAATTGGAAAATGAAATTCCCTGACATTTCCCTGTTACATTTTGGTGAAATTCCCTATCAATTGAAGATATGGCAAATGGCTAAGAGGACATAATTGAAAATAGTGTTTGAGCAAAATTTGTAGTTTGAGACCTCAAACCCAGTTTAGAAAGCAAATAAAGAAGATTCAACTTCCCTGACATTTCCCTTTACTTCCCCTTTTCCTTGACTGTATGAAATTCCCGGACTGTGGCAACCCTGCCCCTTATGAGGTGTTGCCAAGTTATGTAACCCATAATTCTAAGTTTCATAATTCATCTTTTTTGGCGTTTATCATTTCGTAATTGAGTCATGTCGTGCGAAAGTCTGTAATGTATATTTTCCCAGCTTTTAGTTTTCTTGTGCTTCTAATAATTTTCAAGATTTGACACCACCATCAAAGTGTAAAACGAGTACATTCATCATTAAATTCATCTCTCGAATGTATTATCAACTCAAAAAAACTCAAGACTGGAAGAATGGACATGAGCGGCCTCTGCATAAAACGATTGAAATTTGTATAGCTCATGATAAGCCAAGGATTAAAAACAAACATCACTGGTCAAGAGGACCACACACCTTGAGATCGAAAAAAGTAATTCTATTATTACCAACCGCTGCCTCACCAAAAGTTTTTTTTCTTTCTTCCTACAAAGAACATACGTATCTCTTATGCCATTCACTGTCATCTGACGATTTCTAGTTGGATGAAGTTTTCTGTATTCACAAGTCCACTGGACAATGAACTGCTTTACCGGTACACTCTTTGAAGAAACTCAATAATCTTCCATTACTTTTAATCCTCCTTCAGCTTTGGCTTCAAAACATCACCTTAGTGGAATGCAAATAGTCTAGGACTTCATTAACGTTTTGAAAACTTGACTTAATTATATCAGGCCAAGGCTTTTTCCTTTATTAATGGGAGATCTTCGTATTTAATTTGCCATTTTCCCCTCGAAAGCTCCTCTTATCTCAATTTCAAGGATATGAAGGTGGAATGAACATGCATGAAATCTCTCTTCAAAATTTTCTGGAGGATAATACCATCATCATTAAATTTACACAAGTTTCATACCTAATCCTCATTGGCAACCGTTTCGTCACCACAAGCTCCACATTTCCAATTGACAAGTTCTCACTTCCGAAAATTTGTAACTGTAGCATCCGTTTCATCTCACCGCATTATTTCGAAACATATCTCAGTTGACGAATACGAAAAGTGTCCTCAGTATCAGAAAATTTAACACAACAAAAATAATAAACAGCTAGGTCATTGCACTATTGAAAAACCTTTTAAGCAGATTTTCTCGAGGAACTTTTTAAATCTTGTCCTCATAGACCATACTTGAGAAGATGGGTAAAAACAAAATTTGTAAAAAAGCTGATTATCTTGAATGACTAACCTGAAGGAGGAGTAAAATCTTAAGGAAAAACCCTTCACTTCCAAGAATGATTTACTACATATACAATTTTTAAGTGTACTGGCAAAAAATTGAAAACTCACCTAGTTATCAGGCTTGTCGCAAGAGCTGCATCCCGTATAATCTACTGCATCTGTGAATGAAAAAAAAACATCCAAGTTAACTAATCAGGGAATTTCGTACAGTTCAGTACATAAGTGTGATTTCGAAATCACAAATTTGAAAAACAGTAAACGTCAGTCAATGATTATATTTCACTGTCGACACAACTACATATATCTATCATCATACTTTTCTAGTCAATGTTTCCGGCTTGTGATAACATAACGAGCACCTAATGAGTAGAGTTTGTTTCATTTTGAACCTCAGCATTGAGTATTTGAAAGTAAAAGATTGTATACCGAAAATTTTATTTCAGAGAAAATCCCTAATTGAAGATTCAACACCATGTACTTCCTCCATTACTTAAACTGCGCCTAAACTCTAATTCCTTTGTGACTTGCTGAACCTTTGAAAAGGGGTACGAAAAACAGCAGATGGCTGCCCTGTGCGGGTTTCTAACATATTTTTTTTTTTTGTTTTCTTTGTTTGAAAACATGCACAAGTTCTTTTATTGGCAAGAGACTTTCTGCTGCTGAGATGATATGTTCCTTATTATCTAAGTTTTTTTTCAACATGAATGGTAATTGAGAGGGGTGGGTTTGTAACTAAAAACATGTCGCCTTTCTCATTTTAAACAGAAAAATTAGAGTACTGAAGTCTTTGTCCATTAGTTGCCAACGCATAGATGATGCAGGGGTAGAGATGACGACTATACAGTGGATCAGGGTTATCCCCCATAAACATGAAAACTTTGTAAAATTCGCATTCCATTCTCTCTCTATGATCTTTAGTTCATTTCTATTGTACAGAAACATGTATAAGCTACATTCATTTTATTGGATACGCCATCTTACGAGGATTCAGAAATCTTGTACTCCTGAAAATGGGCTTAATGGCACTAATGCCTGTTTACCAAAAATATCCTTAATAAATTTGTTGTCACTTCTGATATCCAAGTCTCCTCTTTGCTCTTCATTTACCGGCAAAAATGTAATTCTCCCCTGAATTCATTCAAGCAACCATGAGACACTACAGCCTGATTGTTAAAGCTTTATCAGGCTTTGTCAGCAGGCTAACACATGATAATCTTTTAACTGATCGATTTTTTAAGTCTTTTTGTGCTGACATGAGCATCAATAATCAGGCTACTGGTCAACAGACACTTCGGATCGCCTAAAATTTGTCACTGATTCTAGGTGGGTTTTTTGCAATGATTTTGAAAAGGTGCATTTGACAATCACCTACTTCCAATTGGGGAAAGAAAAGAAGACACATATGTTGACAGAGGGTGGATAAGTGCGAGAAATAATAAGAGCACGAAATACGTGAAAGACTGTAATCTATCAAGTATCGCAAAACAGGCTACAAAAGCTACATGAGTATAAACGAACAACGAGAAGTCAAGAACAGAGAGAGATACAAGCAGGCAAGGAAGAGCCGGCCAATCAGAGAGCGGCGTTGAAGCTACCAACCTAAGAAAGTAGAATTACCCTACTTCAATATATGTCACATCCGAGAATCACACAATTCAACATAAATTTAGATGGTAACAAAATGATAACTGATCCACTCAGTTTGATGCGATAATTGGCTCTTCTTTCCTTTCCCCTGTCCTGTATTATTTACTCAGTTCCCAAACAACTGAATTTTCTGTGGTAAACTGCGATTTTTTTTTTGGAGTACATGCAAAATTTGATTTTTCCAAGCATACCGTGAGGATCCAGAAAACCCAACGTAAGTTTCGAGATCAGCCCTAAAAATACACCTGGAAAATTACATTCCTTCTTGTGATGACTTTTTTCTCTTTTTGATACAACCAATTTGAGCTTGGTTCATCTAGAAGATACGCTATCAGAGACTTGCAATGGGCCTGTTGCAAACTTTTGCTAGAGCAAAAATAAGAGTTGTTTCTTGTAGATAATGCCTCAAAAATCACGATGAGCGCATCGGCAAAGTCTGAAATGCACTCATAACTTCACAATCTGCGTAAGAAATTTGCGTTTTTTTAAGCTTCCCGCTTTAAAAACGATACTACGGCATAGGTGAACATTTTGTTAGAGGAGTCGCTCCATCATCGGCGATATTCATCATGGCCGACGCTTGCACGCAGTTCCGCGCGTAATTCAAGGAGAGTTCAAGGTCAATCAATTCGGGCGTGGAAAATATGAACGTTAACACACCGATTGTTATCTGGTCTAATCCAGTTCAGGTGTTATCTCGTCCCATCAAACGTGTTTTGGCGGATTGGCGTCGGCTATGATGATTATTGCCGACAATGGAACGACTCCTCTCACAAAATGTTCACCTGTGCCGTAGTATCGTTTTTGAAGCGGGAAGCTCAAAAAACTGCAAATTTCTTACGCAGATTGTGAAGTTATGAGTGCATTTCAGAGTTTGCCGATGCGCTCATCGTGATTTTTGAGGCATTATCTACAAGAAACAACTCTTAGTTTTGCTCTAGCAAAAGTTTGCAACAGGCCCATTGGTCTACTGTCCTCTGAAAATTCTGTGTTTCTGCAACCCATCAACAATTTGGATCCAAACAAATACACCTTGAAATTAATTACTGTGCCCTTCTTTCCTTTATTCATCTGATAAAATAGTGATAAAATCTGTATTTTTATGGTTGCCAAGTTCCGATGTTGTAAATACTTTCACTTACCAGTTCTCAATGTGTCTGCGGATGGCGGCTCCTCTTCGGAACTGATTGTTATTTCTCCTGCAACACACATTTTCAATAGTATAATTAAAAGAAGGAACCTTTACCAAAAGAATTACAGTAACCCCTGAAAACAGTAATCCTTTTTAACAACATAACCTCATTTAGTAGGGAGTGTACACTCATGAAAAAGGAATGCCGAAACACACTCAGCTCTTCCTGGACCAACTTTGAAAAAAAACTTTGATTTTCCGCTACTTTGAACAACTTTTCTCAGATAAAATTTGATTAGATGAAAAACAAAAAGGGGCGAGATTCCCAAAATACTGATCAATTTTGATAACAAGTTCGAAAACTTAGATAACGGATTTGTTGGAAGTAAAAATTCTTCGTCTCAATTGCCAAACCTAATTCTGGAACCAACGCCTGCTTAAAATTACAATTTTTCTTGTTATTTTTCCTTCCAAAGGACAATGGACAAGATCAATTGGACACAGTCCAATAACAATGACTTGGGAGACTGTGCAAACAATTGAACTTAAGTATCAGCTGCAAATCTACTGCATCATTTATTTTTTTACCTCCTATACATATTTATTTTGAAGGTCAAATATAACCCTATTTTCAGTTTCCTTAAAGAACACAGTGATTTCTTAATCCTCTGAAAGCACCTGAAGGAGACTAATATTTAACCCCCTCTGAAAATGCTCAAAGGTTCCTCGACAAAAATGCCACAAGATGGAGGAGCTTACACCCCAAAATGTCCCGCTTCATTGAACTTACATAAAGAAACTTCACGTCAATTTTCCTCTTGAAGTGATGGTCTGGCAAAACTCCTTGTAGTTTTATAATTAAAATGTTATCCTTGCAACTGCTAAATAGTGTTAATTCTCTGACAGAGGAATGTTGATCCTACAGTTCCTCTTACGGGAGAATAAATTAAAGACATTCTCTTTTCCCTTTTAGAAAACAGACGTGCATCATTCCCTAACGGCGACGATGAGGAGGGCACCTGAATTATCAAAGTTCTTCCCCTATTGCCAACTATGATTGCTTATCGTGAAAATGCCACCAATCAAAAAAGTAGACGTTGAACTGTCTTTCTTAAATACCCCTCAAACATGTATCATTGTCTGGTTCTCAGAAAATATCAAGAGAGGGAGAGAAAATGAGGTTTTAAGCCAAGTTATGGCAGCCTTTGTGCTATGGATAGTCCAGATGTATTGAGTCTTTCCTTACCTCCCCTCAAGTACGTCATAATCGTTGACAAATTGCCAGCCTCTTTAACTGAAATTTGTTTTTTGAACTGCTATGACTTGGACCTACTACATTCCAACATATGAAAATAGGAATATGAAGTGCACATCCTATTCCACTTGTAATTTTTTTTCAACTGTAACCATTGCAACTTTACTTATGTAAGAGGGTCGTTCCAAATAAAAGTATCTTTTTGCCGTAACTTCTTTACTACTGCAAGAAATAAAGGTCTGAAAAAAACTGTTCATTGGTCATGATGTCCCCTTTCTTGCAAGGTTTTATTTTTCCTTTAAAATTTGGTTCAGCAGAATGTCAAAAAAGTTGTTTTTGTGAACTCACCTCCGGACCACTTGGGTCCAAAATTTCACGCTACCAGTCCGTCCGAAATTTAAACAAGACATGAGATAAAATGTAACGTTGGACAAGCTTATTAATCCCCTCAGCATACAACTCCTTATGGATGAACGAGATTTATGGGTAACTCCATGATCCGATACGAAAGCCCCCTAGCTTGTGAAGCAATTTCACAAAAAGTAGCTGAAATACAACTAATACCACGCTGATGTCCACATTGTGGTGCATCTTTGGTGATCATATAAAAAAGGAACCTTTAGCTAAGAATTGTGGCTGTCTGATGTTACAAAATCGTGATTGCGCTTTGACAACGAGTAGTTGCTGCGCCGATGTACCAACATGGAATTTTAAACCCGTTTGGTGGTGAGGTGGGTTCACAAAAAAATAACTTTTCTGCCATTCTACTGAAAAAAATTTAAAATACTATAGCTCGTTAAAAAGCTGACATTATGACCAACAAGCGGATTCTTACGGATTTTAATTTTATGCAGTAGTGTAGAAGTTTCGGCAAAAAGATACTTACTTTAGGAAGTCTCTTCTATTTAAAATCTGCCTCTTCTTTAATTTTTTTGAAAATTACCACTCCTAGACTTCTGGGAGAAGTATAGCGGTTTTGCGTTCAAGTTTGTTCTACTATTTCACCTCATTGACGATGAGCCTTGACCGACTCAGAGAACTGACCCTGATAGTTGCAGGAAAGAGGTGATGAACAAAAATGTTTTAACTGCAAGCAAATCTTTCAACGTCAGAAGCTTCAAGTATCTAAATTTTTTCTTTCTAGCATTTACTTTGGATTCACATACCATTCATATTTACTTAGCATTTACACTGAAGGTTTCATTCACCGTTGTAACATTTTTCTTCATCAACTTGTTCCTGCAACAGTTCCATTGTTCCGACCAAGTCTAAACCAACCTTGTGATAAGAAATGTGTTATCTACGGTGCAAATTTTAATTCCTAACCCTAGCTTCCCCCTCAGGAATGGGAAATATTAATACTGTGAGTAATTTCCACGATGTCTTACCCAGACATCATGGCTCCTGTGGAGGAATCGATGCAGGTGCTGGTCGCAGTGGAGGTTGTGGTAGAGGCTGCAGTGGAGGTTGCTGTGCAGGTTGTGGAGCAATTATTTCGGTGGGTGGTCCTACATGCCCACGGCCCCAGCTTGTCCTCCTCCCACGCATTGGAATGTCTGAAAGAGAGAATCCAATAGTAGATCAAAAGATGAAATTTCATAAATAATTTGAAACAATAAAAGCACTTTGGAGGACCAGAAATAACTTCCCAATACTGCCTATTTTTCCTACAGTGAACGACTAATACACTTTCATGTTCTTTACGAAGTTGGAGGCAACTGGAAAATTATCTACTTTAAATAACATAACCTTTCAACTAACTATTTACTTGCTTAGGACACTAATTACTATCAGATGATTGTTAATGATGACAAACCAGAATTATCCTCTTCTTCATCAGAATTGAAGGATGTACAGTTGAAGCATTTTTTACAACCTTCCTTTTCTAAGAAATCCTCAGAAATATCGCGATCCCAAAGTCAACCACAAATTGGGTACTTCCTTAAGAGAGAATATTTTGAAGGAGTGAGTATGCATTCCGTCTCAAGTTGTGTCAACGTCATTTCCCCCTTCATGCTTTTCAATTAGTTACTGCCTTTCCACTGAAGCGCATCCCTTTGTGCCAAAAAAAACTGCAAAATACAACATGTGATTGGAAATATGTGTTTCTTTCAGTTACTTCCTCATTCATCACCGTGTTATCTACCAAATCTACCATGTATGATCACCAACTATTCCGATGTATTTTGAGCCGCTGAGTCCAAAAATGACCTTCATTTTTCCCTGTCACCTCTCAGTTTTCCGGGAAAGCGATTTTTCCCTGGAAAATGAGCAAATTTGAAGTATAATTTTCATGCATGCCATTTATTTGTATAAATTTTCCTGGACCCGTGGTACAGTCATTCTTATGTGTTTTAAGCCGCTGGATCCGAATATGACCTCCGTTTTTTTCCATCACCCCCGAATTTTTCGGTAATGTCGACCTTTCAGAGCCTAAATTTGTGTATAAGCTTTCCCGGACTCAAAGGGGATCAAAAATGTATTTTAAACATGTCTGCGACGTGTGATACATCAATTCCTGTGTATTTTGACTCGCTAAACCCGAATATGATCTTGGATTTTTCCGATCACCCACAATTTTCCTTAGAAAACTAACTTTCTAGGTGTTTTTCGAACAATTTTCCTGTTGTGAGGAGTCTGAGAAATTTTCTGAGATCCTCTCTGGATCTCTCCTGCTATGTTAAGAGCAACTGAATCCAAATTTGACCTCTATTCATCTCTGACAACCCCCCATTTTCTGGAAAGTCAGACTTTTCCGGGAAAAAAGCTTTTCCGAACCGTCCCCACCTCCAGGGAAATTTGAAAAATTTTCCGCAAGTGTGATACATCGATTGTTATGTAATTTGAGCTGGAAAACCCTAATTTGACCTCAGAAATTCGTTATCACCCACCATTTATACGGAAAGCTCGATTTTCTGGGAAAATTTTTGTAAAAAACACCAAATTTTACCAAAAAACACCTTCTCCAAGAAAAATCTACTTTTCCCACAAAATGGAGGGTGCTAGGAAAAATTGGAGGTCATATTCTGATTCAGCATTTAAAACTACATAGGAATCTCCCCTTCACGGATCCAGGATAATTATTTAAATAAGACTTGCATGCCTGACTAAAATAAGTCAATTTAACTCGATCTCCCTGCAAAAAGTGTCTTTTTTACAAAACTGAGGGCTCATAGAAAAAAATAGAAGCCATTTCCGGACTCAGGGACTCACAATACCTGATGCATAATCTAATTTGTAACCAGGAAAAATCTTACGCACATTCCACAAGGTGTAACAGTCGCAAAAACACCGTAAATGGTCAAAAATAACCATTTTTTCCAAAAAATCGAGTTTTCCGTAAAAATGGTGGGTGATAACAAATTTCTGAGGTCAAATTCGGGTTTTCCAGCTCAAATTACATAAGAATCGATGTATCACACATGCAGAAAATTTTTCAAATTTCTCTGGAGGTGGGGACGGTTCGGAAAAGCTTTTTTCCCGGAAAAATCGGACTTTCCAGAAAACGGGGGGTTGTCAGAGATGAATAGAGATCAAATTTTGATTCAGCTGCTCTTAGTAGGTACAGCAGGAGGGATCTAGAGAGGATCTCAGAAAATTTCTTAGACTCCTCGCAACAGGAAAATCGTCCGAAAAACACCTAGGTAGAAAGTTAGTTTTCCAAGGAAAATCGATTATCCGGGAAAATCGTGGGTGATCGGAAAAATCCAAGATCATATTCGGGTTTAGCGAGTCAAAATACATAGGAATCGATGTATCACACGTCGCAGACATGTTTAAAATACATTTTTGATCCCCTTTGAGTCCGGGAAAGCTTATACACAAATTTAGGCTCTGAAAGATCGACATTACCGAAAAATTCGGGGGTGATAGAAAAAAACCGAGGTCATATTCGGATCCAGCGGCTTAAAACACATAAGAATGACTGTACCACGGGTCCAGGAAAATTTAAACAAATAAATGGCATGCATGAAAAATATACATCAAATTTGCTCATTTTCCAGGGAAAAGTCGCTTTCCTGGAAAACTGAGAGGTGACAGGGAAAAATGAAGGTCACTTTCAGACTCAGCGGCTCAAAATACATCGTAATAGCCGTTTTTCGTACCGGAGAAAAATTGTACCTACATTCTGCAGAGGGTAATAGTCGCACAAACACCAAATATGCCCGAAAATGGCCATTTTTCCGGGTAAAATTGACTTTTTCGGAAAACTGGAGGGTGATGGGAAAAAAACGGAGGTCGCATTCGGATTCAACGCCTCAAAATACATAGTTATCACCTTATCTTGTCCGGGAGACATTTTTGTCATTTTTTTTTGTTGCACAGCGTATCGAAGCGCCATATAGTTATGCAAAAAGTTGCGATCTTCGACGAGAGTTCGCTTCTCCCCTGGTTTTGCATTTTTCTTCCCTGACTTTCCCGGTCGCTAGACACCCTGATGAGGGATTCCGTTCTGCGCTCGGCCGCCGCCTCTGACCTGAAAGTTTCAGCCGTATTTTCTCTGCGCTTGTAATTCTAAGTGCCAATATGTTTGGCTCAAAAAATCAAGCAAAAATTAATCTATATCTTGTGGATCTGCTTTTTGTAATTCGAGAAATATTATTTCAGTTATCGTCGAAGGAAAGTGAAATTCTCAGTGAGGACTAGTGGCGCTATCTCTAATCTTGAATTATCCCTAATCGAACCCTGGATTCACCTTAATTGATGATATTCATTAAATTCAACCTCCTTCCTCCTCCAAGGAAAAAGTTGGAAAATTTCTAATTTCAAAAATAATTTCCTAATGAGTATCAATAAATTTGAAATCCCAATAAATCTCAAATTTAGAATTACAAATTTAGAGACTTCGGTCAGTTGGAAAGGGATGGAGATGGTAGCGCGAGAAAGTAAAAACTTTTTCGTGACCCCACTTAGAACCCTAATACGTCAATCAATATCGTTCCTTCTGTGATTGACTGATTTGGAAGCAATATCATATCAGACTGTACATCCTTCAATGGTTGTTTTCCATCCTTCAGAGAAATTATGGTGTTCTTTGGGTTATTCACCTGTTGTGTTGTATGATTTATAAGAGTTGTTCCATTTTCAGAAATAATCTAGCTCTGATTATTTTCACATTTCCATCACACGAACCTCCCCACATGTCCTCGCCTGGAGGACTTTTTCCCCTCAGATGAGAAGACTTTGTTCCCAGGTGATAAAATCAAACATCAATTCAATTAAAGTAAAGGGAGTAAACAACACTTTAATATATAGTGCTACGTTAAAAATTAACTTCACATTTCATGCACAGTACATGTTCTGGATTTCTTAATGTTTCTGTTTGAGCCACTGTTGGATCGGCAGTTTGATATTGTAGTGAATGGCGTTTACCGCTGAACTTTTACTTCATCATTCGAAATAACATTCCAGAAAGTTGACTAAAAAATAAAAAAATGATGAAGGAAAAAAGTTTTGAAGGGTCATAAGAACTGACACATCAGCAGCCGTGTGTGTGTGAGAAGTCTTAGTTGCACAAAATGCTATCATTTTCATATTCTCACTTGTTGACTTTATTCAGCTACAACTTAGAGAAATTCCGTCTCAAGAAAATATGAAAAACCATCTGAAAAATATATAATACAGTACTCACACTTAATATTCGCGTCCAACTGGATATTTGCATCTTCCAATTTATTAAGTTAGCAAAACAGACAAAAACCAAGCGAATAACTAACGCACGAACGAAATGTAGCTTCTGATTTTCCAACAACCTAAAAACAAACATTAAAACCATTAGTAAAACTACAAAATATAAGACAGTACTTGTAAACCCCACATGGAACTGCGTCATAAAGGTGTCTGAACATTGTGCTGCGTATTCTCTCATCTAGGAAGAGAAGAAAGGGAGCGAATCAAGGTTCCTTTAGAAATCAAAGCAGACATTTATTGCAAATGGTGCTGAAGACGGACAAAAAATGATCATCATTCACCGAGCAGGAGGCTCATTAATTATCCTGAAGCTTCTACTGTCATCTAAGCAACGCCAACTATTTGATGCTGCAGTTTTTCACTGGTTACTGAAGTTCCAGAGGATACCCCTTTAGATTTAAAATCATCACTTCTCCTTCATTTAGATGATGCATCATGGAGAGACGAATCGAAGAACACTTTTTGTCAGTTCCTCAATTTCCAAGCACTCAGGATTAGTGAGAGATTTTAGAGACAGGTATCAAAGAGGCACTAACATTGAAATTTAGTTCCTCATATGGTGGACTCGATAGCTGGAAATGGGGTAAAGGGAGTGAATGAAAAATTCGAATGATGGGTGAGGAAGGCTTAAAAATTAAGATAATAAATTTTTAAGTTTCTTCACTCATCTTAAGAGTTTTTCTTTGTCATTCCCTACTTGTAGTATTAGCTAGTAGTAATTGCTCTTGCTATCAGCTACTGTCCACCAATTCGGGTATAAACTAAAAACTCTTCAAGATGAAAATTTTTAGACGTGAAGAAAATTAATAACAAATAGGCAACAAAAGTTTTGCCTCACATGTCGCATTCCAAAACATTATGAGGGTGCTTGCAGAGGGTCGTGAAAAACAAATTCTCAATATTTCGCCAAACAATCTCACCTCTAATCAACAAAATTGAAGGCAGCATTTTAATTACATTCTAGTCCGACGATCTCTCACCATCACATGGAAAGAGAAGATGTGTAACTGCGCAATGGGTGCGTACCTCAAGCCTATGACATTGCCTGAGAGCAACACAGAATCAAGCCCCTGGTCATATGCTTAGATCAACTGTTACCCTTCGGACAGTTAATGTTACAATCCCCTAGTGTTACATTGCTTTCCATACCTGGTTTGCACCATAAGATTCTTCACCTACGATAGTCTTAAAAGGGCATGAAAAAATATTTAGTGACCGTAGAGATAAGTGATAATACTTACATCTGGCAGATTTCAAATAATTGTGAAACCTGAGAAAAAAATACTGAGAAACTTAGAACCGTCTTGCTATGGAGTCAAGAACAGCGCAGAAGGACTGACAATGAGACACATGGCCAAAATACAAAATCTTATTAAAAGTTCACGAATCGCCTGAACTTCAGTTACATTTCTTGAATTAAAAAGTTTAGTTTAAAATCTAAGAGTATTAATGGCAGCGAGTATTTTTAAAAAAACACTCTTCTGAGAGTAGTGTTAAAATCTCAATTTTGAGATCTTCTGAGTCTTAACTGGCTCATGACTGGAACAGCAGTTCACTTTTTTCCCGAATTTTTTCCAAAACACAGTAATTTCCTTGTGATAAGAGCTTGAGTCCGCAATTTTGGATTCTCGTTTCAGAAAGACAGCAATTTCGTTTGTAAACAAGATGTTTTCCTACATTCAACGAAATATCAAAAAATGTTTCTTTATTTCTTTAAATTAACTGCTGACTCTTATCAGTAGAGAAGAATTCAAGCACTTCCAAGGCCTTGAAAAAAAAGTCAAAAGCAATCCCTTACGAAGGTAGAATGAATCGTGAAGATGGGATGCTATGATACTCACTTTAACCAGCATGTGCTTTTCGGTGGGTGTCAGGTACATTTTTGTTTCGAACATGTGCACACACAGATTGACAACATCGGACAGAAGCTCTTTGAAACCGATTATTTTTTCCAAATTCTCTTTCACCGTGTCTCGAATTTTGTTCTGTGAAGCAAGAAACATGGATGAATTCTGCGACTCTTGCAGGGTGTGTGAATCTGCCATAACTTTCGAGAACTGGGCGGCACTGAAAAAAGAAGCAATGGTGTAGAGACTTGTCACGATACTTTTGAGCTACAACGGATGTTTGATATGAATCCGAAGGAAGGGAGAAAACTGTTTGATGTCAAGGACAAAGGACTTAACTCTCCACAATGCGACACAGGGTTGCCACAGAGTTTCGAAAAGGAATTTTCCTGACTCATTTGGGTAAAATTTCTTGACAATTGAAGATATGCCAGATGGCTGAAAGACATAGAACTAGGGAAAGAAAAGAAGAGACAAATGTCACATCCAAAAATTGCACCATTCAACAGATCCTTACATGCTAACCAATGGACCCACTGATGATTGATGCATTCAGACTGATGTGACTTTTGACTCTTCTTTTCTTTCCCCAGTCCTATAAACTCTGATTAAAACGTAAGACTTAATTATTTTCGGACAGCTCTTGTAGAGCCTTTTGCAATATTACTTCTGTACCATAATTTTTTAAAAATAATCTCCATTCAGGTACACAGGAATAAACTTCAAAATGGAGAAATCTTTTACTACTTTACAGACATAAACTTACCGACACTAGGTAGAATAATCATTTTTCACACATGATTTCATGTTTTTCAGTTTATTTCAGTTTATCTAGCACCGCAAACATACTGATAAATTTTCCTAGGGTGAGCAAGTAGGCTCCAGACACAAAATCCTTCCTCTTTTCAGCATGACACAGCCTTTTTACCTCTGCACAAAATCTTTCAATAGCTTTTCACTGTGAGAGAAATAATTGGAGTTAAATATAAAATTAATGATCTCACTAAATTGATTTAGGGTCATTCCATATAGAACCTACCAGCCATGCAACCACCCGACTCGGATTTTGATGATAAATTTTTTTCTTGATCAGACCACCAAATAATGAACTTCTGCAAAATATTAGGTCTCAAATCGGAAAACTCACTGAAATATGAATTCTTGAAGTTTTAAGAATTTTCAAGAAAGAGACGTTTCGAACTTCCGAGAAAGAGAGGGCATTTTTCCCAAAAAAATTCACCCCGGGCCAATTTTTCGTCGGATTGAAGTGAAAATTTGACACGATGTCAATAAGAGTATGTAGACTTGAGAAAAAAATGCATAAAATGTTTGACTTTACTCATTGATGTGCTGCGGTTGATTGTTCGTTGTGATTTTGTCTGATTTTAGCGGCAAAACCCTCCCCCCTTCAAATGCCCATAACTTTTGAGCTGCAAGTTATTTTTTGCTCCATTTTTTTTTAAAATGCTCCTAAGAGTATTAGAAACACGCCTAAAGAACAATTCTGATGGCGTTTTGGGCTTTAGTATCTTTTTTTCACTTTTGTCCAAAAAAGGCCTGAAAAACTGAAAATAACACAAAAATTATTCCGATAATCGTCCATTACCCTGAATAGTCAACTCAAAAATCGCTCAATTTTTGCCTGAATGGTCCTTACTGTGTGTACAATATGTTTGAAAAATACAATCAATGGTATTTTGGGTTTCAATATCTTTAACTTCGAGTTTTTTCCGAAAGAAGGCGAGCAAAACTGAAAAACACTGAAATTACACTAATTATCGGCCGTAACTTTGGAGTAGCAACTCAAAAATTGCTTACATTTTTACTGAATGGTTCTCACTGCATGTGAAATGCGTCTGAGGAATCAAAGTGATGGTATGTTGGGTCTCCATAACCCTTCTCCCAACATTTTTACTCAAAAGAGGCTCCCTTAACTGAAAAAAGCGCTAGGAAAATCTCATTAACCGACCATTACATTGAAAAAGCAATTGATTGGGGGCCCAGATTTTTCACCAAAGGCCTCTTGTTGTATGGGAAGCACACTAACTTGAGAAGTGAATATAGCAAGGGATTCACTCCTAAAGGGAGGGAAAAATATGTACAAAAAACATGTATTTAGATATTTTGCGATAAAAAAATAGAATGTTATCAATGAAGTAACTGTAAGGTTTGCCCTTGATTTACTCAATTCAGAACTTAGTTGCTTTTTCAACTCGAAACATTAAATTTACTTCAAAAACCTTTTTAATTTTCACGGAGGCGGACGGATACAAAAATGAAAACTCAAAATCGCTGCCTTCCTCTGATTTGGATAGAGCAAGCCCAAAGAACCAATGCCTATTATGCACACATGCAACATACGAATTTGTTGAGATTTCTAGCATAACTTTAACTTACTCTGGGTTAGAGTAATTATTGAGGGCAAACAAGATCATGATCTTAATCAGCAACAGTCTAATTTATAGATCTGAAAATTAAAAAGTTTTTTGAAGTAAATTTAATGCTTCGAGTTGAAAAAGGAACTAAGTTCTGAATTGAGTGAATCAAGGGCAAGCCTTACAGTTACTTCATTGATAACATTCTATTTTTTTATCGTAAAATATCTGAATTAATAATTTTTGTACATATTTTTCCCCTCCCTTTAAGAGTGAAACCCTTGCTTGAGATGTTGAGGAAATAAAGAGAAAACTCAATTTTTCAAAACTAATAATTACAATACTTCAACTCTAATAACCTTCCTCAATTTTTAACAATTTCATGTCCTGATAATTCCTATTAGCCCTTTTTAACTTGTCCTCAGATTTTTAATTTCAGAATACATTTGAAAGTTATTAACCTCATAATGATGCCATCCAGGAGTCTGTAAATCACATTTAAATGTGAATAGTGATCCCCATCAGTTAAGGGATACCTGCAGTTCTATCTCCTTACTTTAAAGGCGATTGTAAAGATTGGAGTGAAGGGGAAAACTACTACAACCAAGAATACACTATATTCACTCCTCAAGTTAGTGTGCTTCCCATACAACAAGAGGCCTTTGGTGAAAAATCTGGGCCCCCAATCAATTGCTTTTTCAATGTAATGGTCGGTTAATGAGATTTTCCTAGCGCTTTTTTCAGTTAAGGGAGCCTCTTTTGAGTAAAAATGTTGGGAGAAGGGTTATGGAGACCCAACATACCATCACTTTGATTCCTCAGACGCATTTCACATGCAGTGAGAACCATTCAGTAAAAATGTAAGCAATTTTTGAGTTGCTACTCCAAAGTTACGGCCGATAATTAGTGTAATTTCAGTGTTTTTCAGTTTTGCTCGCCTTCTTTCGGAAAAAACTCGAAGTTAAAGATATTGAAACCCAAAATACCATTGATTGTATTTTTCAAACATATTGTACACACAGTAAGGACCATTCAGGCAAAAATTGAGCGATTTTTGAGTTGACTATTCAGGGTAATGGACGATTATCGGAATAATTTTTGTGTTATTTTCAGTTTTTCAGGCCTTTTTTGGACAAAAGTGAAAAAAAGATACTAAAGCCCAAAACGCCATCAGAATTGTTCTTTAGGCGTCTTTCTCATACTCTTAGGAGCATTTTAAAAAAAAATGGAGCAAAAAATAACTTGCAGCTCAAAAGTTATGGGCATTTGAAGGGGGGAGGGTTTTGCCGCTAAAATCAGACAAAATCACAACGAACAATCAACCGCAGCACATCAATGAGTAAAGTCAAACATTTTATGCATTTTTTTCTCAAGTCTACATACTTTTATTGACATCGTGTCAAATTTTCACTTCAATCCGACGAAAAATTGGCCCGGGGTGAATTTTTTTGGGAAAAATGACCCTCTCTTTCTCGGAAGTTCGAAACGTCTCTTTCTTGAAAATTCTTAAAACTTCAAGAATTCATATCTCAGTGAGTTTTCCGATTTGAGACCTAATATTTTGCAGAAGTTCATTATTTGGTGGTCTGATCAAGAAAAAAATGTATCATCAAAATCCGAGTCGGGTGGTTGCATGGCTGGTAGGTTCTATATGGAATGACCCTCTATTCCTTGACAGTAAAAGTTATGTGATTAAAATGTGCACCAAACTTAGAAAACTCTTTCACCTACGTTTTTCATGCTCAGTATGCGCTGTAGTAACTACCCTCCTGGCCGCCATCAACATTGACAATCAACTGATGATTGTGACCACAGAAGCTGCTGAAATGCGGACTGAGCGTAAAACATGGTTTGTAAGTAGAAAGTAAGACTTTTCTAGATGTCATGTATGGTTTAATAGGAGTAAATAAATTGAGGAATAATCAAAGTAAAGTATGAAGAGAATGATGGAGTGAAATTCAAATTCACTATTAGGATTTATTAAGTAATTCCAATTTTTGAGAAAATCAAAGCACAGAAAGGACACTCTTCAGCTGTAGTGTTTCAGAATCTTCACCAATTTTTCATCCATTATGATCAAGCAAATATATGTAATTCGCTGAAACTCCTACTGAATATTTTTCATGATTTTATAATTCTCTAGATGAATTGTTTTCAGAAGATTCACACAGTATTTTCCTCTCTGAAAGCATGAAACTTCCCTCAGGGCAATAGTTCAAAAAAGTAATTATCATTTGGCAAGCGAGAATTTATCATTGTATAATCAATTGAATTCTAACCCTATGGCATAAATCCTAGAAAAAACGAAATTTTCCCAGGAATATTGGCAAAAATAAGATGGAAGTTCAATAGTCTGAAAAACTGAATGCCCGCCCGGCAAGTGGTTGCCTGAAGTAGTTGCGGAAATGTTGTCACAATGTGACTGTCAAAAATAATGTTGCGACAACGTTGCAGCAACGTTGTGGCAATGTTATTTTTGTCAGTCACATTGTGACAACATTTCCGCAACTACTTCAGGCAACCACTTGCCGGGCGGGTGAATATCAAATAGACTAAGACCTCTGACAAGTCCACAGCCAAGACCGTTTTCTTGCTAAATGCGCCAGATAATTTCAGGCACAGTGACCGGCATTTTGCATGTACTATAACAATTTTTATTGTTTCAATTGTACCAAATCATACTACATAAATAAACGATCATACAGTTGTGCAATAAAGGCACCATTACCAGTTTTTGCACGGAACTAAAAAGCAGAGGGAAGTAATTTTAGTTGATTAAGGAAATATTTTTATCAAAATTTTTAACATTAAAGACTAAGATAATTAATTTAATTGTTTTATCAGTGTAATTGATATACTTTCGTTTAGTTACTTGTCTTTTAATTATGTAACTAGAGACTACAGGTGTCAGGTGGGTAACCTAAACCAAGTTCTACCATTGTGGCAATTAGTGGAAATTGTGGTTTGAAGCATTCAAATATCCCTTTTTTCTTGCATGTTTTTCTGGCCCGGCAAGATCAGTTACGCATCTTAGACACATTGGTAGAGAACGTGATGCAAGTTTTCACCTATGATACACCACTTCAACTGCCTACTGAATGTCGAAAACTAACAAAATTGGAATGCTCACCTGAAAATACATGATATTAAGCAGCTTGTTCACTTCAGGAGCTAATACTTCAACAGTCTTTTCATAGATTTCCACCCAGTTCGGCTGCTCATTGGACTTTGATTGCGGTATGGCTCCAGGGCAACATCGCAACATGTACAGCATGACCGCATAATCCAAGCCATCTTCCAACAGTTCATTCTGGAGCATTACAAATGGATATTTTACAGGATTGGTAGATTGACAACTTTAAATTCACTACATGGCAAAGCTCTGAATTTTTAAAATGACCATAACCGGTGTCGATTAAGTCTCAATGAAAAAACCTATTGACTGTTTTCAGTGCATATACCATAAAGGTTCAAAAATGGGTACATTTACATTTAAAGGTCGATCTGCAACGGATTCCTTGGATAGTTTTAGATCTTTAAAATTGAAATCAAGGTTCAAATGACCGTCCATCAAAGACATATATAAATATCTGACTTTTTCTAAAATAGATGCCTCTACCTATTTTCAAAATGTCTCCTTCAAGTTGAAAACACTTCCATAGAACTAACTTTTTGGATATGATGTTTCTAATCCTGCCGTAGCTCTGTAATGATTTAGGTAAGAGTGAAAGAGTCATATCATTTTTTCTGAGTACCGATTGAAGCATTTTATCGGTAGTTCTTGATATTATTCATTCACTGCTAAAAACTTGTGATTTCCTCTCATTTTTCTCAAAATTATCTTGAAAATGCAAGATTTTTCAAAAAATCATAAATTATCATTTATCATCCATTCAATTAGACAGATTAATGGTGGTCAAGTAGCAGGAATGTATAGCTTCCCAAACTGGCGTGAACAGTGGCTTCCTCAATGTACTTTGCTATGCCAGTGACGAACCCATTCCGATCTTCGAAGTTGGTATCAAAGTTAGCTTGATAAATGACAGAGCATGGCTAAGCTTCGATAAGCGGTAGTTCATCAGGTAATGTAAGCTCATCTAAGGCGTCAACGTTGGATAAGGCATCAGTTAATGTTACCCTAGCTGCTGCCATTTTGAGACGTTGACTCCTTTGAGCAAAATACCATCAAAGACATAAAAATGTGACTCGGCAAGTAAGCATTGTTGTACATGGAACTTAGAGAAAAGAATGGTTTTGAAAACATACCCACTCTATTAGATTAAGAACAGAGAGTACACTGTAAACCAAAAATAAATATTCTTGAGTGTTGCAAGATTCAATACCAGAGAAGGTTGACAGTTAAGAGTAGATAAAATTGGTCAAACAACTTTATGCCTTCAAGAGGTAGGAAAAACTTGTGCTTCACTATCAAAAGTAATGCTGCTAACTTGAGGTAGAGGTGTCGTCAGCTAAGTTGGCACTTGAATACATATCGTTTGCAAGCAACTACAATGCAGTCGTCCAACAGTAATCGAGAATTGACTAAGCTTAAAGTCAGGCTGCCGTCAATCCCCTATTGCTGTTGGACAATTGCATCGCAATGGACGCTATTGGTGGCACATCACAAAAAAGCGATATTTATCGATTTATTCGCATTAGTAGCATTGAAAGAGGTTACTCCAATGTTATTGTTTGGATCCAATTTGATATAATGGAGAATCCATATGATGACATCGCCACTAACGGCGTCTAATGCTTCCAAGTGGAATGTAAACAAGTGCCAACTTAGCTGACAACACCTCTAGAGTGCAGAGTAAACAGGTATTTAAGAAAAAATTAGAGTTGAAACAATGGAAACAAGACCAATCCACACAGGTCAGTCATTGCGCATCTTTTGAAAAGCCACTTCCCCGCCCGGCCCTAACCCGGCGGAGAGTTGCTGTTGGGATGGATCTACTTATTTAGAGCTGATCCACTAGAACCAAGCATCAAAACATGATTCTGTTACCAACGCAACTGTCCCATTGAATAAAGAAAGAGAAACGATCGGGTGAAACAGTGGCTAACCTCTCAATTCGCAGGAAGGTCTAGGTGAGCTTTCAAAATGATGAAATTGGCCTCATTATCACAGCATGACTACATGCAGACAAACTAACTCTTTCCTTCAGAGATTAAACGACATGAAAGTAAAAGAAGGAGAGAGTTACAGGACATATGGGGAATGAGGAAGTTACAATTCTTGAGGAGGAAATTCAGGCAAGAAATACCTGGCAATGAAGTCCCAACTAAGCTGATCATTAGGTGTAGCGTTGTAGCAACAGTATTCACAGTTCTTGCTATTTGCAGGGGATTGAGAAACAAAACCTGTAAAACACTCTTCACTATGCTCAGAGGTTCCTTCTTTAATGTTAGCTTCAGTCTCACGCACAGGAATCGATCATTGAAACTCTTGTCAGCATGCCCAGGCCAAGGGGATCAAGGTCTTCCGAGCGCAAAGCTCACACATTCCTCATCTTGTCCTGGCGTACCAACAGAGTTTCAAGAACCGGTTTGCATTCATTGATTGACTAGATGAGAAAAGAGGAAATAAAGAGATGCCTCTTGGTCCACAGCAGTCTCCAAGACAAATCCAGCAACAGACAAAAAGACATGTTCCGTCACTGGAGTCTTGTGACAATTCTGTTGTGTTGTAACATCGTAAGTTATGGGAACATCACTACAATCTCAAAGAAGAATCAGTAGTATAAGCTTCCTCGATTTAGTTGAAATAGAGACGATTGAAAGCAATACCAGAAAAACGACTCATACACTCATACCTATACTAATAGATCCACTCCGGTTTCTCCGCACTTCCCATGGCTTCTTCTTGATTTTCGTTGGCCCTGCGATTAAATCTTCGTCTCGAATTGATGAAATACTTCTAAATGAGCAAAGAAGATGACAGTTTAAACGGCTAATAATTAAATAAATTAAAATTAATAGAGCGAACCGGAATTCGAGCACCGGCCGTGGTTGCGCGGGTAAATTCATGCATGGCTGCCATTTGGAATCCCCCACTTCAGCTGGACGAATATCGAATATCGTATCGAATGCGATTGTTCGAGTATCGCACTATCGATTCTTTGCCATAGCTTCTTACGGGGACACAGCTATAGTCGATCGTTCACGAAGTGTGGCAAGAAATCCGCCTGCCTCAACCACTGAACTCCGTTTTTCTCGCATCGGCTCACTGAGAGAGGCCGCGGCAAGAATTCTTACGATCAGCGACCTTTCTCCTCGTTTTACTTTTAAACTTTCAATCTTAGAGGAAAATGTCATAGGACCCGAAATAACGACCGTAAAATTTCCTATCGGTTCAGTACACAAAATTTTCGAAAAAATAATTTTCGTGACCAAAAATAAGGGTTTTAAAAAGGGCGCAGGCAAAAATTCTTATGATCAGCGACCTTTCTCCTCATTTTACTTTTAAACTTTCAATCTTAGAAGAAAATGTCATAGGACCCATAATAACGGCCGTAAAATTTCCTATCGGTTCATTGCACAAAATTTCCGAAAAAATAATTTTCGTGACCAAAAATAAGGGTTTTAAAAAGGGCGCAGGCAAAAATTCTTATGATCAGCGACCTTTCTCCTCATTTTACTTTTAAACTTTCAATCTTAGAGGAAAATGTCATAGAACCCATAATAACGGCCGTAAAATTTCCTATCGGTTCATTACACAAAATTTTCGAAAAAATAATTTTCGTGACCAAAAATAAGGGTTTTAAAAAGGGCGCAGGCAAAAAATGTTATGATGTGTTGTGTGTGTGTACTTTTCTCCTCAGTTTACTTTTAAACTTTCAATCTTAGAGGATAATATCATAGGACCCATAATAACGGCCGTACAGTTTCCTATCGGTTCATTACACTAAATTTTCGGAAATGTGGGAGAGGCGATGGAAAGGAATACATACAAGAATACCTGTAAAGATCCACTCTGAATTTCGGTTCCTTCCTCCGTTTTGCATTGCTGCTTCGCACCGGCTCGAATGCCCGGCCCGGTCGTCGCCTGACTTACTAACTCGTTGCGATTATCCCACTCGTTCCTGGGGATTTCGTGCTAAACCAAGAGTATTCCAAGGTTATTTTGATCGTAGAATTCAATTTTGACCTTACTTTTGTTGATTTTTTGACACAAATACATGATCTCGGCGGTAAATAGAAAAGGTACTCACCCGTAGATTGTACTCGTCCTAGTACCTAGACATAATTTCGTGTTGAAACTTCGCAAACTAATGGTATTTTGGTCAAAAAATTCATTTATGACCAAACTTATGCTAATAATTATATGTGATGACACAATCGATGATGACACATAATTGGGAGGGGGGTGGGTCGCGTGCGCTCCGGATAAGCAAGGCAAGCACCGCTTGCCCAAATATATTTCAGAAGAAATGAGGAAATTTACACCTATATTACATGTTTTAAATTGTAGCAAATATTATTGATAAAATGTAATGATGAGAAAATTGCATTAAAAACAGAAAGAGAGAGAGAGACCAAGTTACGTATGCAGCAGCCACAAAAGTAGGAAAGCGGCAGAGCGGACAGATGTGGCGCAGCGAACATGGGGATGAACATGGGCCAACTCATGCTCTGGAGAATTGCTTTGTGATGGCCGACTGTGAGCGAAGAGCCAGCCAGCTGATTAGACTGCTCGGCGGCGGAATCATGGCGGGCGGGGAGAGCGGTTACGTCCCGAGTACCCCGCCGCGGGGCGGCGCTTCCCTGCGCCGCCTGCGCGATCTATTAGTCCAGGCGCCTGGCGCTAAAAACGAGGCTACCTGGAATTTCGGGTACACAGCGATTTTTTTGGCTTACTTAGGCCTTGTCTCCACGGGACGTTTTCATGGGATTTGTCCCAAGTTCGAATCGCAGGAATGAAACTTCTGGGATTTTTCTCAGTTACCGTCTCCACGGGACGAGGCTCATACGGTCCTGCGACTAGTTCGGCGCGGGAAGATAAATTATATAGATAGGTAAAGTCGAGTATTTAACCGTCATTAAAATAATAAGTGCACTCAATTGGCAATTAGACACATATTTCAACTAAACAAACAGGAACAATGGAGTCTTCAACAAAATATCGCACAATCCGTTTACACTTCTTATTCTTCCTCTCTCGGTGGGTCCTAGGAGTAAAAGGACTATACTTGGTACTGGGAAAAATATTGATAAACTCAATATTTTTCCCAACTTCGTAAGTGGGATTTTTCCCTGGGACAAATCTCGTGATTAAAGGCCCGTGAAGACAAGACCGAACGCAGAAGAAAAACGGGGTAAAAAATTAAAAAATACTAATGAGTGATCAATTTTCAAGGACAATTCTGTAATTTCTCCTACAATTTTAAATAGATTAAAATGCGTAATATCCAAAATCTAAGCTCAGATTCGGGTTCCTCGTGAAAAATCGATGCGATTGCATGTATCATATGTTAGCATAACATGAAGGAAAGAGGTTTAACGACGCGTTCAGATCAAGACCAATCCGTCGTACTACCCCGTCGAACTACGCCGCCGCGCCGGTCGCCCGAGATGCAACCGAACGGAGAGGAGAGGCGCTAACAAGCGTTCGGTTTCGTCCCGAAGAATTCCTGAGCACTACCCATGTTGCCACGTTGCATTCATATGCTCTAATCAGTATGCTACGTTGCGTCTCTTTCCTCCACGCTATGCTCGGATATGGTACATGAAATTGCATCGATTTTTAACGAGGAATCCGAATCTGAGCTTCGATTTTGGGTATCTTGCGTTTTAAGTCACATTTTCCAACTTCAAAAATCCGAAATGGCTAAAAATGCTATCTCGGCTCCTGTTCGATGAATTTTTGTGAAACTCGGTGTCAGGATATGATACATGAAATGAGCTTCGATTTTGAGTATTACGCGTTTTAAATCAAAATCTGTCAAAATTCAAAAAATTCAAAATTCGAAAATCCGAAATGACTGAAGTGGCTTAAAATGCTATCTCGGCTCCTGTTCGATGGATTTTTCTGAATTTCGGCGGTTCGCAGGCACCTACCTGCGGAACAGAGTTAAGAAATTTCGTGAAAGATTATAAGAGGAAATTTCCTGAAATTTAAGGAAATAAGAAATTTCACGAAACATTCGATGAAATTTCTTTTAGCAGCTCTGCTGCGGAAGGAAACAGCTGGACTGATGAGCGGCTCTTGCCTCTCTCGTTCTCTCCTCGCCCCGCCCGTTCTTCTCTCGCTCTCATCCTCAGGTTCGGTAGCCGGTGTTGTGAACCCCGCGCCCCCGCGCGTGCCGCAGGAATTTCTTTCACCGCCTCGCCGCGACGCAATATGCCGCTGTCGGAAGCCAAGCGCCCGTTCATTATTTGCTGTCAACTATTCTGTATGCATTGTTTCCCACATCCTCATAGCCATAATTTATTAGTTGTTCCAGAATATGTTAGGGTTTTCGGCGAACACTGCGAACCCATGGACGCCACGCCACTGATACAATCAGTTGGATTTTCAATCTAAAACTTGATACACTTGAGTACAGTATTTTCATCGTAGAAGTCAATTTTGGCCTTACCTTGCTCGTTTGACCGAATCGTATCATTCGTGGAGTTTATGAGTTGTTGGTTGGGGTTGGAAAAAAGCTGTTTTCATTCTAGCTCACTTAAATTTTGGGCATATTGATGGAGAGTACATTAAGTATTACTGCATGTTCTATCAATGCTTTGGAATTGGTTTAAGATTTACCTTACCCATGAGTCTTCAAAGCACTACTTGCTTCCTGGGATTGTGCTCTTCTCAGCCGATTCTCATATTGGGTCTAGTAGAAAAGGGCTGAAAAGGAGTTGTCCTCTATTAATAAAAGGCATCTAAGGGTGGAAAAGGGTAAGGAGAGATGACATCAAAATGACTCAATAGGTGGTGGGAGGGGAAAAGTGCAGTTTTAAGAGAGTGAGATGGGGCTGAAAAATCGCGTATTCATGTGAATCAATTAACATCAGTAAGGTCAAAATTGGGATTTTCGATAAACATACCATACCATCAAGTATCAAAAATTCAACGTGCATTTTCATCCGGTAACTAGTGAAAGCTCTCTTTGAGTAACTTCTTTTCACTAAAAAGACTAAAAGTTTGAAAATACCCTCCCCCCAGTGCAAGCTCTGGCGATCGTAATCCGGGGAGGGGGGGGGGGGGGGNCCTAGCCCCCTTCCCCTCCTCAGGGAGCCTCCCTAGAAAATTGTTGAAATGTAGATCCTCGCGAACCTCAATTTAGTCTATTTTTAGGATGAAATCTGATGGAACGTCTTGAAAAAAATGGTTTTATTTCATTATCTCTAGCTTACTTACGATCATTTGCCACTTATTTGAGGTATATCTAGTCGTTACTCCACAGCGTTTAGAATTTTTTGAGTTATTTAAATTTTTCAAAAAAACATCTCTCTGCGTTTAAAACATAGCAATCGCAATCGCGACGGGAAGAGGGAACAGGACAGCGCATCGGAGGCAAAAGCAGCGAAGCGCTCGGACTCGGAACGTACCGCTCTCCCCGCACGCCTGATTCCGCCGCCGCGCCGCGCCGCGCGCCGAGCTGGCGCCGAGCAGTC